ATATCCTTTCCATAACAAAGCATACGTGCTACTTTTGTCACAGGATGATTTCTCCGATAGCCTAGGGTGCTTTGCTTACTTTGATCACGGGTCTCCATTCGACACGCGACGTCGTCTGACTGTACTCGGCAACGTTTATCGTCGTATGCAACGGACCATTAAGAACTCCCCTGCCCAATTTCATGTCCCGTTGGCACAGAGCGCCATATTTTCGTTTTCTCTGTTCGAAGCACGACATCATGTACTTTTTGTTCTGCATTCTTACGTGAGCAGGGTTATTCTTCAGACAACGTCAGTGACTCAGGTCCATTGTTGTTTCGACCTATGCAACTGGCCTGAACCAACAAATCTGCTTCATCCAGACAAGAGTGCGCACTGCATGGAGGACGTATGCAGGCAATTGGGTTATTGCTTCGCCGGAAACCTTAATTATCAGGCGGCACACCTCTGAACTCTTCGACTTCACAACTCGTCTTGCAAGCTCCATGTGGCAACCGCCGTCCGCTTTGCACTCTGCAGCACACATCCCCATGTATATTACATGTATGGTTTGCAGGCGCCGCAGGCTGCCCAGTTGACGAGAAACCTCGCCTTGCGGGTATTTCTTTCACGTTCCTCTGTCAAACAGAGTGCCTGCACAGTTTGTTGCCGCCAGCATGGCAACCGGCCACAGCTCATTTGGACCGCGCACCAGAAGCAAGGGAACCTGAAATCCATGGCTCTAGACAAATCCCAACGACCTTGTCGTAATTCCGTCCACGCGAGCATGGAGCGTCGCATGGAGCGTCAAGCCTCAATGTTTGTCGTTCCGTCGTTTTTGTTCCGATGTAAGGGATGAGCAGCAGTTCGTGTGAGCGTCTTTGCACACCAGCCCCTGTCCTCTTGTCTTTTTATTCCAGATTTAGTCCATTGAAAAGAAAGCGACCTTGGCGAGCTGGATGTGGCATGGAGGCCTGGCCATCCACTGAGAAGAGAGCAACAATGAGAACGTATGTTACGGGAGGAAGTGTGGGAGTAAAGTACCTGACCTCGCTGGCGACATGGGCAGAGTACTTGTAAGGAAAATAAAATGGGCAAGTTGGACATATTGAAACGGCCAACGAAGACGCTAAGCAAGGGGTCCGAGGGGGATCGAGGAAGGAAGAGCCTAGGGTAAGAGAACTAAGTAAAAGAGTGGGCACAAAGTCAGACAAAACGGCGTGCGACAAAAAGAAAAAGAAAAAACATGAAAAGGAAGACGACAGAGAATGGAAAAGAAAGACAAGAACGAGATCGAAAAGTGAGAAAAAAAAGAAAAGAAAGTGGAAAAGGGTGGATTAGAACACCAAGGGTTGTCACGTTGGGATATGTCTCATCCAAAACAAGGCGCGCTCAGCATCCCTTGCAGAGGTGATCGACACACTCGTGGCTACCATCGATGTACGAGGCTCGCATCATTGCCGCTCCGGTCCAAAATAGTGCAGATGATCCGGAGAAATCGTGAGACTCAGCTGAACATAGAAAGTCAGGGTGCAAGTAAAAAGGCGTTGGGCAGCGTGGGCAGGTATCAAGAAGGTGTTATCGACTAACATGCATCTGTGCGACGTGCTTTGCACATTTTTGTGGGCTCAGATTCCTGCACGACACAGGAGACCTAAAAATCAAAAGAAAAAAAAAGTTGGAAAAAGCAACGGTGGTGCTTGGGCACAGTGACATTGCGTTCACTTCGTTTATATTTAGTGGGCAAGTAGATTGGGATAGGAGGTGCAAGCTGCAAGGTTCAGACTTCAAGGTGTGGTGCAAACGGAAATCTGACCACCAACCAAGCCACCTCCTTTGCAAGGGGAGTGAGAGATCAAAGCAAGAAGGCTCTGGTACTTTTCAATGTCTTTCGCTGAAAAGAGGCCTTTGTAACTGGGGAGCTGTGGCTTCCTCGATCCTTGCTGATTTTCGTCTCAATTTTTCTCACTCTCCTTATGTCCATAGATGTGGATCTTGGTACACTTTGGTGCGGCGATGGGCAGGAAAGAAGACAAGGGGGAGGAGGTCAGTCTTGTTTTCAGTACAACCCAACTCCGCTGGTCAAGAAAACGAACACAGCCGACAGCCCCTGTTCTGCCCTGACGAGGAGCCTGGTTGTCTTGTTTTAGGACCTAGCTCTTTGGCTCTTTGGCAATTTGTCGTTTTTGGGGGTTGCCTTCGCCAGCATATCAATTTATGGAATTCGTCCTGGTTTCATTTGGCGGCAAAAGCATCAGGGGAAAGACGACCGTTCCTGAACAGCAGTAAGGCCCGTAGGCGAGAGAACGGTCTGTCGACGGCTTAAAAGACAGAAACCAGGTAAGATACAGCATGTTTTGTTGAATAGCCTTTTACGGTATCGCCATTTGTGAGGTTTGCTGCCTGTCGTACCGCCGTTTTGTTTCATTTGAGCCACCAATTCCGGATAAACGGCCGGCTTGGCTATATGACAGCCATTATCGACGAAACCTAAAGACAACCATCTTGTTAGTGACTCGGACACGTTTTAGTCATCTTGAAGGCCATCGTTCTTCCACAGAATGTCAAGGTGGTAGGCGATCCGTCACAACCATGGGTTATGTGAGAACGGCCCTTTTTCGAAGTAACTGAAGAAATGTCCCTGGAAGGAAGGCGGAAGAGAAGGGGAACACGGACACAGACGAGAGAAACGACCGAGCGCATCGCCAGCGAACTCCGCCTCTTTCTACCGTGCGCACGTCCTAATCTTCATGATGCGCCCCCTTATTTGTGCTTTAGACACCAGCCACCGAGAATCAAAGGGGAGTCTGCAATATAAGACCAGCGACGGGGGAAATATGCGGAAGAGAGCCTAGTCGGTCCGCGCGGAGATTTCTCTGCACTATTGTGCGACCTGTCAACTTGGTGGAACGCTGCACATTTCTCTTGCAAAGCGGTGTAATTAGGTTTGTATTTTGCTTGCCGTTGTGCCATTATTTTTGCGATTCAAAAGGAAACTCGGAAACCGTTTGGGTGCCACAAACGGCTGAAAGATCAACAGAAGCCTAATCCGTGGAAAAGAGGGAGTCTGTCCCTGAAAACCAACAGCACAACCCAAGAACAACAACATGCCGTATTGTGTCTTGCTTTCGTGTATTTTTTTTTCTCGGGGTTGTCTTGTTGTTTTGTATTGTCCCATAATTCCTCCTCCGTTCACTTGAATATATTCGACGTATGGGTGGGTGGCTGGGATGTGAAGAGCGAGGGGGTGTCTCGAATGGCTGGTGGATCGCGCGGGTCAACCAGCGAATGGCAGCAGTCAATTGGCTTTACAAGTCTGAAAAGTAGGCGTGTTTGTGACGGCTGTTTGTGACAACCAAGGAAACGACAGCCTGCACGAATTGATGTGACAAGAGGAGCGAGGCGGGAAGGCAAGGAAAAGGAGGAAAAGGAAAAAAGAGACAAAAAGAGAAAGCAGTAAAGGCAGACAGTAAAAGGGACGGAGCAGAAGAACGTCGAGAAGGAAGCCAAACAAGTGACGATGTTAAGATCGGCACCCACAACAGCATCCATTGTTTAAAAATGGCCTCGCCACGCTAGCCACATGTCTCGCCTTTTGATACCCACGCATCGCTTCACGTCAGAAGCGAGCAATAGGCCTAGGCAATCACGATCTCAGTGCCATGAGCAGCTTTGGGGAGGTGACGCCAGCATGTCCTAGGACCTTGCGTCGATTAGCTCGAGGAGAGGTCCTGGAAGTTGGAGGGCAGTTGGCTCCATGGCTCCTCTTTTCTCCTGGCTACCTGCAGACCCCTGTGGTGGTCGAGTGGGTGCATGCGGGTATGTGCGTGAAGGTCCACCGAGATCATGGGAGCTGTAATACCCGTCTGATTTTGTCCATTTCCTCGCTTCGGCAGAAAGGTGATGGCATGTCGAAATTCGACCAAATTCAACGTTTTTGTCTCGGTTCGATCCTCACTTCCCACCCTCCTTTGATTTTATTTTGTTCCTGCTTTTCCGGTCGTCGCCGTTCTTCTTCTGTCAGGGTATATTCTTCATGTTCTTTGCTCGCTGAAAATCGAACGTAGCTGTGCTGTCGTAGCTTGTATTGATATTTCTTCTCCGCCCAGAGACACGTTTGAGAGAACGACCTCATTCTACCTTCGATCCTCTCTTGGGACAGCCTCCAACAATTCCTCATTAGTTCATAGCGTGCATGTTTTCAAAAGAAGACAAGACAGATTTAAACAATACGACGTCAAGGGCACTCACGAAAAACAAAATAGAGAGGGGGGCAGAGTCCACTTCGAATCCACCAAGACAGCTGCAGCCCCTTGTCGGTATTGACCAAACAGTCACCCGCAACATCCTGGCGCGTTGCTCTCGAGCTGTTCGGCTTTGTCGAGCTTGCTTCCTGACGTTGAATTGTTGAATCTTCAACGTCTTGTTCGTCTCTCCAATTTGCTTTGGTTTGCCGTGACAGTCGTCCTGTTTTCGTTCGCCTCCAGTATCCCGATGCTCTCCTGAATCTCGCCTCTCAATCGCTTCGACATTAGTATTATCCACGATATATAAGCACTTATCGACTGCCCCATGCTCCCAGCTGCACGCTTCTCACCTGGCGCCGATGGAAGGCGCCCAGCTCAGCGAGACCGAGACTCGACAGATGAAACTCACCTTGATCACGACGTAGCATATTTTTAGAGCTATCGAGTTGCTGGACTTGGCTCCGGACCATCATCCAAGACGCCGACGACGCCGACGACACCGACGACGCCGACCGCCGCTTAGGGGGTGAACGGCGACTATCACATCGAAGCAGCAAAAACAAAGCACACCAAAAGCCGATCGTGGAAACAAACCACAGATTGCTCGAGAAGGAGGTGGAGTAAATAGGGGGATAAGGAGACAAAAGATACCGCATAGAGAAGGAGTCCCCGACAGACGCACCGAACGAGGAAGGACCGCCCAGGGTATATTGATTGGATTGGTTTCTGAGGAAGTCACAACACGCTGCACTTTTGGAAGGCACAACCGACGACATGGCTTCCACCGTCATGCCCCCAGGTCTCGCCGCTGAGAAATCGGGACCTGCATCTGTCCTTCAGACAGCATCGACCGGCATCGACAACATTGGCATCCGGGACAGCACAAATGCCCTCATTCCTTCACCGACGCGTTCTACCTTTGGCGGCGATGTCACGCCATCTTCGCCAACGTCGCCGACGATGAGCCACTATACCATACAGCAGAAGAAGCAAGAAGCGAGCTCTCCGTCTGAGACCAATACAAACAGCATCCTCCACAGCCATCGTATCAACAACAGCGCCTCCAAGCTGCCCGCCTTCCGTTTTGCCGACCTCAAGAAGGACACACTCGTGCTGCCATCGCGTCTACAGCGCATGCCGCCGTCGCCCGTGTCGCTGCCATCGCTATCGCCCAGTGCAAAAGCAAACGGTGTGGCCGAGTCCTCGTTCGATTCCCAGGAACGCAAGGACCAGGACCGGGACCAGGACCAGGACCAGCAGGAGCGGACGCACAGCGCACTGTCCGCTGTAACTGGCGCTACTGGAACCGCCCCGCCTGCGACAACAAAGCGCCGAAACAGCGCTGGCACCATCAACGCTGGCCATGCTGGCAACAGCGCCAATAGCATACACAGGCCATCCCCCCCCAAAAGCCACACCCATGCACACTCCCTCTCAGGCCCGCCATCCCTCCCTGTGCCAACAACAGCGACAGCGACCTCGCGTACCTTAACCCGCCCGAGTCCAGCCACCGAAACTAGCACTCGGTCCCGCGTGTCGTCGTTTCAAAACCCTGTGCCCACGCCTGCGGCGCCCGATTCGCCCAAATCGCCCAAATCGCACCAAAAGGAAACCCAAACCCAAAACTACGCACCCAATCCCAAACACTCCTCGTCCTCCTCGTCCTCCACCGCCATCACCGCCTCTTCCGCCGTCACCGCCGCCACGTCGCCCTCGACGAAGAGCGCCGCCACCACTTCCACGGTGTCGTCGTCGTCCTTTTCGTCGTCCTCATTTACGGCGCCGACCTTTACGTCGTCGTCCTCTGCGATTTCGTCGTCTGCCGAATTGACTCCGCTCGACGACGACTCTCGCGATTCCCAGCCATTCCGCGACAACTCCCCGCCAAAGGTCGTTGTTTCGACCCCTTCTCCCAATACTACCGTAGCCTTCGCTGCCAATCCCCTGTGTTCGCCATCGCCCACCCCTGCATCTTCCAGGTCGCCCAGATCACCCGCTTCTCCCACTTCTCCCGCGACTAGAGAACGTGGATCGCCCGCGCCCACTTCTCCTGCTGGCGCGGCAAGACTGCAACGTACCCTCACCGACCCGAGCCCGTCCAAGAAGAAGACGTCGCAGCACCGCCGTGCGACCGCGTCCTTTGGCTCCAACGACCTCGACTCTGACGGCCTCGCAGCAACGTCCTTCACGAAGCGCTTCCAGGCGACGGCAGAATCTCAGGCGGAGAACTCTACGCCAACGCCGATCCTAACACCGGCGACAGCCCGCGCCGACAGCCGCGCTGCCGACCACGACGACGATCTTGCGGCCTCAGAAGCCACCGGCGCAGACCCGCTCTCGCCTGAAACGTCCACCCAGGAGTGGGCCAAGGGCCAGCGTGATCTGGTTTCGACCGGCAAGACCAAGGTCACGTCCAAGACAAAGACCAAGTCGAGCTCTCTCGACATTGACACGCAGGAGTCTGCTGTGCCCGACACGTCAACAACAGCGCTCGCCACGCGACGCTCTCTGCCCCAACAGTCGCTCCAGTCGCTCCAGTCGCCGACGCTCCAGTCTGCCGATGACAAGCGAAAGACGTCGTCGCGCCCTCCGCTCTCGTTCCGTGCGCCCCGCAACGAGGTCCCGACGTCTCGTCCCATCATCCCACCCATCCGATCCTTCCGCTCCTCGGGCTCGCGCAAGAGTCTTGGCTTACAGGACATGAACCTTCGCTCGCCCGGCGGCGGCGCCTCCTACGATGACGTCGACACCGCTGACGGTGGCGTACTTGATCCCCGCCAGCGTGACCGCACTCTGCGCGCCCTTGAGGGCCGCAACGCGGCCGACAACGACGATTACTCTACCGGTACTCCGCTTCCACGGCGCACCGATCCCGATACCACGGGTGACGTCTTTATGCGCATAGCGCGCGAAGACGATCGTCTGCCCGACGATCCCAACGCGACTGTAAGCTCGTAACCACTCTTTTGTTTACGTCACACGTTTTTCTGCCCCCATTTGCCTTATTTCTCTCGACACTTTGACCTTGCAGTTTTGTGCACTTCCTGCACATCTTGCGCGCAAGATGGCAAAACCCCAATCTCCTGTTGTCTCATTACACGGCATAGCCACGTCTGTCTCATCTGATCTCCTACTAAGAGGGAATTTTGCGGGCGATTCCCATCTTTTCTTGGCTTCGGGTTTCCACATCCTTTCTGTGTTTCATTATCCTTCCATGTCCTCGCCACAACAGTGGCCTAGATCTTTTGGTTGCAGCTTTTCTTCTTCCATCATAAATATTGACATTAGCTTCACCACAGTCTCGCATAAGTCGCACAACATCTCAGCGGAGGCCTTTTTCTGCTGCCGTGCCGTCACGCCAAAGTATATCACCTCAAATCACACGCCGTCTCTCCGATCAGCGGGAAACTGCCCGCCAACGACGGTATGCCGACGAGCATGCATTGCAGCAACAGCAGCAGCAGCAACAACTACAGCAGCAGGCTGCAGTTGCACGAGACACACCGCCGCGCGCTTTGGCCAGCGAGCGGACTACGCCGCTGCGGTCGGCAACAGCATCACAGCGGCCTGACCCCATTCGCACACGCACTGTCATTTCCTCAGCACGACCATCACCGAGCACGCCTCGAACATCTGTGTTCTATGACACGGCGTCTGACGTTGGTACCAACTACTCACGGAGGCGTCCTTCTGTGACGGAACCGATCAGCAGCGGCACCCCGTTACCACTGCGAACCTCGTCCATCAAGACCACCCATAGTTATGCCCGCACTTACAACTCCTCGCCACTGGTGCCACGACCCGCCGATGTGCCGCGCCAGGACATGCACGATATTGGCCATGGCGGCCAGGGTGTTGGTGGTGGCATGGACAGTACGGAGTCGACTGCTTCGGCCGCGCCGTCGACAGTCTGGGATGAGCTGGACGACCTCAAGTCGCGTATGCGGCGGCTCGAGTTGACCGGTAAGATTCCACCCACGGCTGGTGCGGCCATGTCGCGGGCATCCGACGAGCGGCCTCGCACGGCGACCACGAGTGCTACCACACTCTCAGGCTCACCGAAGCGCGTTGCGACAAACGGCCTGGCGGCAGACGTTCGAAGCACGACGTCGTCTCAGCTCCAGCAACAACAATTGCAGCAGCAGCCTCTACAATCGCCCCAGCAAGTCAGCCCTCCGGTCCTGCTCTCTGCCCTTCGTGGGTTGAAGCCACATGTGAGCGATGAGGTCTTCGGCGCCATTGAGAATGCTGCGACGGAAGCCTTGGCTCTGACGCAGATGGTGGGTGTTGCAGGCCAACCCGGCCCGATTTCGAGCGGCGCTAGTAGTATTGGGACCAGCATGCCGTCCACGGTGACGGATCGACAGCTCCGCCGCAAGGCCGAGAGTATCTGCAGAAGCCTGACGGAGCTATGCTTGACGCTCAACGACGAGGCGGCGCATCGGAAGGCAGCGGCAGCGGCTGCGGCCGCCACAGCCCAGATTCAAGCGAACCTGCCACCGCCACCGTCACAACGACTCCAGTTGCAGCAAGAGCAACATCAGCAATTGCAACAAGAAGATCAGCAGCAGCTTCAGCGTCAGCAGCAGCAAAAGCAGCAGCAGCAGCAGCAAGACTTGCAGCAGCGGCAGCAGCAGCTCCAACAACAGCACGAGGACATCCGCCAGCATCAGGCGCAGCGGTCCTCACGCGACGACACCATCACACTCTCGAGCCCGACAACGACAACGAACAAGGCCTTTACCAACCTCGCCAACTCGCGGCGCGGCATGGTTATGGAACCCGCCGCAACGCCCGCAAAGCTGCAAACCAGCCCGCGTGCCCCGACACGCTACGAGGACCGTCGCACGTCGTTCCTAAACACGCCCACACTACCCTCGCCACGCCTTGCCCTTGGCCCACCCGTGTCGAGTGAAAATGCAGGCCGCCGCTCGTCCCTCATGATTGCGCGCACACGCCGCGCCGCCTCTGAGGACCCCGAGGACATGCCACAGTCGACCGGTCGCCGTTCGTCCCTACTGCGGACCCGGCGCGCGGGCACGGAAGAACCCGAGGAAGGCCGCAAGTCGTCTCTGCTGTACCGCTCGCGGCGGGCAGTGCCGGTGGCTGACGATGGCGGCGTTGGTGTTGACGACGAAGTGGACGGACAACAGGTCCGGTCACCCTCGCGCGCCTTGACCGATGTGGCGGGCTTGCGGCCGGCGCAGCGCGGACCCCGCGAGTACCACCCTCGGGAGTACCAGCCGCGAGAGTACCCTTCGCGCGACTACGCTGGCCAGATGCAACAACAGCCGTCGCAGAACGCTCCTACGACCAATGCAGCTGCCGTATCGGCCAACGCTAACGTGGCACAGGCAAACAATGTCGAAGCCAACAACCATTCGCCACTGGCATCGTCGGCTCTCCCGCGCCGCCGTCTCGTCCCCTCCAGCCTCAACTCGCGCCTGGTCACACCTCAGACGACAACGACCGCCGTGACCGCGTCGTCGCCGCTGCTGTCGAGCCGTCGCTTCCTGGAGCGCAGCGCGCAGCAGCAGGAGCGAGATGGTCGTGATGGCGGCAGCACCGTCGGCACAAGTGGCACTCTGGCCGATAAGTACGCCGATGACCGCGGCCAGCGGCAGCTGTCGCTCGGCCAGACGTCGCTGCTGAGCCGCACGACCAGTGTCAGCAGGCGGCGGGAGAGCGCGCTACCGAGCCTGTCCTCGGCATCGTCCCAGGTCGGTGGATACCGGTGAGGTAGCTGTGCCTCTTCCTGCATCCTCTTATTCTCATTTCTCGCGTTTCCTTTTTTAATGATCCCGTTATGTCACGCTTTTGACGGACCTGTACTATATATATTATTAACCTCAACCATAACATGACTAACAACCACCACAAAACACCACACACTCTCCCCTTTTTGACGTTTATACGCCGGCGGTCCTTTTTATCTTTTTCGTTCTTGTCGTTTTTAGTCAAAAGCATTTTGTGGACCTACATTTTGTCTTCACCTGTCTCCTTTTTGTCTCCTCCCACCCTCTTTTCTTCTCCCTTGTCGTCTTTCAGCGATTGATGTCCAGTGTGTATTACGAATTTCATCTCATGACTGCCCAAAGTTGGTGTGGATTGATTGGTCTTTTTGTTCCTGTTCGCTCTTAATGTTTCTGTTCTTTATACGTTTTTATTTATATTTTAGTGTGGCCTTTTTGGGAATATAATAAGCAGTGCCTTTCCTTCTCACACTCGTGCAACCTTTTGTGACGACCGGACTTGACTCTTTAGAGTGCAATTGGACCGTCGAAGAAACTCGCGGTTTGAATATCTACTTGCAGCCGCATCCATCGCCCGCCTAGCAATACTGTCTTGCTTCTTCCTGACCCAATACAATTCGCTTTGCCAGGTCAGAAGTTGTATGTCAAAATGAAATGCGGCCGTTGCAAAGCCTCGTTGAAGTGAAACGATGAAAATTGGTGGCTCGCCGGTGACTCAATTGACGAATCGATTTTCGCGACGGGCCATAAATGCTTCCTTGGCGTTCATGGGCGGATTCTATCTAACTACAAGGCTGAGCCAAGCATCCGTTGTGCCCCACTAGCCTGAAAGACTCCGTTTTGGCGACAGGCCGCAAGCCCAACACGACTCGCATACAAAAGCGACAACAAACCACGACTCCGTCCCTAATCGACTCCACGACTCTCAAAGCAGGCTCTCTATAAAGTCTTACTGAATGACGCATATTCTGCATTTATCTCTGTGCACACGTATTACCAGTGGCCTGACCAGATCTCTCTCGACAAGAATTGCTTCCAATGTGAACAGGCGCCATACACGGAACAGACTTGCGCAAAGGACGACAGTGACCGGAACAAGCATACAAAGCATCCATACAACGCCAAGCACAAGACTATCCATGGACGACTTTGACAACGCCGAGGCCCTCGCGGCGCAGTTTCACGACCGGCTTGGGGGCATCGGCGGCGGCGGCGGCAACCGGCGAGGAGGGCGCGGCGGGCGCGGCGGCGGCGGTAGACGAGGTCGCGGCGGTGGCGGCGGTGGTGGCGGTGGTGGCGGTGGTGGGCGCTCCGTCGACATCAGCCGCGCCCTCTCGCGGCTGCTCCGCCACCAGGCCGCTAACGCCGGCATCCCGCTCGACCCGGAAGGCTTTGCGCCGCTCGACCGGGTCCTGCAGTGGGGCCCGCTGCGGTCGCTCAACGTCACGCTCGCCGAGGTGCGCGACGTCGTGCTCACCAACGACAAGCAGCGGTTTGCCCTCAAGCGGGCGGACGCGGACGGCGTGGACGACGTGGACGACGCGCTGGACCTGCACACGGTCCGCGACACCGACAGCCCCGCGGCCTACCGCATCCGCGCCAACCAGGGCCACAGCATTGCCACGGTGACCAGCGACGCCGGTCTGCTCACGCCCATCGACGATCCGGAGACGGCACCGCCGGTCGTGTGCCACGGCACCTTTTTTGCGTTCTGGCCCGCGATCGAGGCGACCGGCGGTCTGCGGCGCATGACGCGCAACCATGTGCACTGCGGCTGCCTGGAGAGCGGCCAGACGGGTGCCGAATCGGTGGAGGCGGCGCGTCGCGCGGGCGCTGTGATCCCGGGTCTGCGGCGCGATGCCCAGGTTCTCGTGTTTCTGGACGTGCGCCGGGCGCTGCGCCAAGACCCGGGTCTCAAGTGGTGGCGGGCGGCCAACGGCGTGGTGCTGACCGAGGGCGATGCGGACGGCAAGGTGCCAGCCAAGTATTTCCAGCGCGTGGTCACGAGCCGCGAGGGTGCACGACTTCTGCCACCGCCGGCAACTGGCGAAGCAGGAAGCACGGTGAACGAGCTGGTGCTCTGGGAGGACGGAGAGAAGGTGGCAGATCTGCCGGCCGAGACGCTGGCCAAGGCGCGGGTGCCGCACGGCAAGCAGGGATTACAGAAGCGAGCAGATGCCGCCGCCGGTGCTGGAGGTTCACGAGGTGCAGCCAACAACAAGAAGCAGGACCAGGGGAAAGGCGCATCCGGTGTTGAATAAACGGCACAGTGGAGCTGTGTAGCGAGCATTTTTAAAAACGTAAAAAGCGATTGCGCATTCGTACGTACAATAGACATGATCCAAGTTATGATACAGTACACCCAAATCCCTTTCGTCGTCTCATCATTACATCGAACACATACATGACCCCTACTGGTAGTTCAGCTCGGGGTTGGCCCGGAAGTTGCACCGGCACCTGCACTCGGGCACAGGACACTCGGCGTGCCGCGAGAACCACTGCCGCGCGTGGTCCAGGTGCAACACATGGTCGCACTTGAGACAAAACGTCGGGAAGCGCGCCGCCAGCCGCGTGTCCGCGTCCGCCGAGGCCTCGGGCCGATCGGACCGCGGCGTGCCCACAATTTCGAGGCACACGACGCACCGGGGGAGGTGCCGCTTGCAGTTGGGGCAGCTGACGCCCGCCATGGCCAGCTTGGCCGGCAGCTGGTTGTGGTTGTCGAGGGCCATGACGCTGCCCAGCACGCCGCCGGCACTACCGCCGGCACTACCGCTGGCGCTGGCGCTGGTGCTGACGCCCGACGCCGGCGGCGGCACGGCGAGCCGCGTTTGCGCGTCGCAATAGACACAGCGCAGCGCAATCTGGCGTGCCGGCGGTGCGACTTTGGGGCGGCCGTCGGCGGCGCCCTTGCTGCGCTTGGTGCTCTCGACCTCGAACTTGGCCCGCTGGAAGAAGGCGCGGTGGCGCTGCAGGTAGGCGCGGTAGGCGGTGCGCCAGGCGGTGCAGCGGTAGTCGTCGACAAAGCGCGGCGCCGCCATGGACATGACGAGCGTCGCGGTCTGGACGTCGTGAAACTTGTCGACGTAGCGGGCCCAGATGTCGACGGCGGGCTCGGTGAGGCCCGTCAGCACCAGGCCCTCGACGTCGCCCGTGCGCACGGCCTCGGCGAGCGTGTCGCGCAGCCAGGCGGACAGCTGGTCGTCGTCAAACATGCGGACCGCCACAAAGACGCGCTCGCGCAGGGGCAGCGACGTCTGGTGCGCAATGGTGGTCCAGTCGCCGGTGGCGATGAGCGAGGAGATGGCGCGCAAGTAGGGGTCGGTCTTGGACGCGAGCGCCTCGTCAAAGTCGAGCTGGTCGCGGTCGCCCCGGGCGCCCAGCACCGTGCCGCCGCCGGCCGCGCCGTTCTTGATCCCCTCTTCGTCGCGGCGACCCATCAGCTGCAGCGCCAGCGAGACAAAGAGCAGCTCAGGATGCTCGGTGCTGGCCATCTTGAGAATCTGCACGGCTTGGCGGTTGTCGCCGCGGAACAGCGCCTGCGCCGCCGCCATGGTGTGGTACGACGTCGTCCGCTCGGTTGCCGTGTCCGTTTCGCCGCTGCCGTCCGCGCCGTCGCTGCCGCTGTTGTTGGCGGCAAGGCTGCTGGCCGGCGGACGGCCCCAGCCGCAGATTTCGAGGCACAGCTGGCGGTGGTGTGGTTTCCGCGTCTCGACGCCCTCGTAGCGCCGGACGCCGCGTTTCCGGCAGATGGAGCTAATGGTGCGCTGCCAGTTGGACGCGTCGGGGAAGGAGGGCGACGACGACGGGTCGATGCCGTAGATGCGCGCGTCTTTGTTGGTGCCGAGGTCCTCGAACCAGATGCCGGCCACGCCCATGTACGACAAGTCGAGGTAGTGCGCCGTCATGTCGCCGTTGTCGACGGCCGCCTCGGCATCGCCCAGCCAGCCCCAGACGTCGCGCAGCCACGGGTCGTCTGCCACAATCTCTTGGTTCCGGGCACAGTGGAACAGGTACCTCTCCTTGGCGCGGAGCAACATGACGTGGTCGAGCACCGCTTGCGCCTCGGACGGGAAACCCTGCCGCGCCAATGTGGAGGACAGCAGGCTTTCGTGCAGCTCCTGGCTGGTCAGTGGCCGGCCCGAGACGGATGCCAGTGATGCTGTCGAGTCGGTCAGGTCGGCCAGCGAACCTGCTGTTGACGCGGCTGTTGCAGCTGCTGTAGCCGTTGGTGCTGTCAGTGCTGTTGGTGCTGTTGGTGCTGTTGGTGCTGTTCCTGCACGCGCATCCTGTGCTGCTCCCTTTTTGGGCGGCTGCCGCAGATGCTTCTTCTCGAATGCCCGCAGGATCTTGAGCTTCTTGGCCACGGTCTTGGCCGAATAGAACTCGGGCGACAGCCGCGAGGTCTTGGCCTGCGCCAGCGCATCGGCGTCGACCTGTGCCGCGCGCTCTTTTTGGGCTTTTTGGATCGCGCCGTTGATCTCGGCGGCGTCGGACGCAAAAATGGGAATGTCGGCCAGTGCCTCTTCAAAGGCCACCGGGTACAGCACCTCGGTCGCCTGGTGCGTCTCGAACTGCATCATCGCGTGGTACGATGCGCCCTCCTCCAGGCCGCGGTACGGTGCCGTCCAGGGGATGAGCTTGAACGGGTACGTGGTCGTAAATGACGGCTTCTCGAGAATGTCGTAGCTGCCGTTGGCGCGCAGGACGAGCACGCGCGGCCGCAGCGCGGGCGACCCGATCGTGACCCAGTCAAACGACACAATGCGCTCGTTCTTGTGGCGCGGGTCCGAGTACTGGTTGTCCATCTCGTTGGACCGGCGCACCTCGAGCAGCTCGGGGCTGTGGTCGGCAATCAGCTCCGGCGGGCAGTACTCGTGCTTCGTCTCGTAGACCTTGAGCTGGCCCGACCCGGAGAGCACGCCCAGCATGCCGCGGTGGTCGCGGCAGTAGCGCAGCGCACGGATGACGGACGCCTTGCTCTCGTTGATGGCCTGCTCGGACTCGGGCGTGACGGCGCGGTCGAGACGCAGAGCGCCGCCCCACGGCAGCTCGTCGACGTCGACCGCGTCCAGATACAGCGGCGAGGCCATGGACCGGCTCGTGGCGCGCTTGTCCCAGACCATGATGCCCGGGTGGTCGAGCGCCGACGAGGCAACGTAGTTGGGGTCGGCGTAGTCAATGGCCAGGTTGTTGGTGCAGCGCGTCTGAAACTGCAGCGGGTGCAGGCCGGGATCGCGCAGGTCGTGGATGCGCAGGCCCTGGCCCTTGATGCCGACCACGAGCGTGCTGGGGTTGTCCTCGAAGAAGCGCACGCTCGACACGGACACGCTGGCCTCGCGCACCTCGATCGGCTCGCCAAAGGGCTCCATGTCCTTGGGGAACCCGCCGGCCGATGCGGTGGCACCCGAGCCGATGCTGGCTGCATCGACGGGCCGCGCCGACGACGACAGCCGGTTCACGTCCCAGATGTACAGACTGCGGTCGCTGCGCACGCGGTCCAGGCCCACGGCGAGCAGGTTGGACGTGCTGAACGCCACGGCCTGGCACGTGCGCGACATTTTGAGGTTGAGCTCCACATAGGCGTTGGAGTCGTCGTCGATTTTGAGCAGGTTGACGACGCCCGTGGGCGTGCCGATCGCCACAACGCCCGGGACCGTCGGCGACCAGTCAAACGACGTCAGTGTTGGAAAGTCTTCGTGCCTGGACACGTTCTGGTACTCGAACAGGCCCGTCTTTGCGTAGCCCGTCGGCTTGTAGAGCTGCACGACGCGGTGGTGCAGGTTGACGTGCAGGAACGAGTCGATGCTCGCGTTCGGCGACCAACGCACCAGGCCCGTCTCCGGCCCATCCATAGCGGAAAAGGCAGTGGGCAGACGCGGTTACTATAAAGCACAGAGGAAATGCGCCGGTGGTCGATGTCTCCGAGACAATGTCGTGGCCGTCTCGATACGGGCGCTGTGCTCAGGCGCGGCCAGGGCCGCGGTGGTCGATGCGCCGAGTTCGCTACCACATGCCAGTTGTTGAGTGCGGCGCGGAGAAGGTGTTTTGTCGCAATCAGTTCGAGCGGGTGTCAAAAAACAAACTGATAGGAGTTGGGCGGGTTGGGTCGATTTTGCTCAATACTCGCCTAGTGAAGCATCACAAGATGTCGTTCCTGCTTCCATAGAGCTTTGTCTGATTACTAGCGAGAGAAAGCTCAGTGGACCCACAATGGCGATTAAAGTGGATCACGTGTCGGCGCCGACTTGCATTTGCGATAAGATAAGCAAGGCTGGCCGTGTTGGCAGCGGTAGAAAAAAATTATAGACAGCTTTAGCGGTTGGTCTTATACTAACTTTTGTGTCATCCAATTTCGAAAACAACGTCTACATCCACGTCTCGAACTCACCTCCTCACACTCACAAAAACACCACAATCGCCATGGGCGAGAAACGGCAGTATGGCGACTACGCCGAGCACCCCGACCGCGCCGCCAAGCGCCAAAAGGAGTCGTCGAACAACAGCTACAACAGCTACAACAGCGACAAGCCGCGGCACCTGCAGCCCGGCGTCAAGAAGCATGCACGGCGGCCCGAGTCGTCCAACTGGGCCAAGAAGCGTGCACGCACAATTGAGCGGAGGCTGCGGAACCCGGACAGCCTGCCGGCCAATGTACAGCGGGATCTGGAGTCAGAGCTGGCGGCACTGCGGCGGCAGATTGAGGAGCGGCAAAGCAAGCGGGTGCGCGCGCACATGATTAGCAAATACCACATGTTGCGATTTTTTGGTAGGTCACGGCGGGATAACAGCATTCTTTGCTTTCCTGTTTCCATCTTTTATTGCTGTGGTCCCTTACACACTCTTACTAACTTGTCAGAACGCAAAAAGGCGATACGGCGGCAGAAGCAATTGAAGAAGCAACACAATGCGACGGACGATGCGGCGGAAAAGGCAGAGCTGGCACAAGACCTTGCTGTGGCCGAGATTGATGTGCTGTATCCGCAATACTACCCCTTCCTTGAACCGTACGTAAGCTTGTACCCGCAGAGCAAGAAGGGCACGGACGACAAGGACGACAAGGACGGCAAAAGCACAGCACCGTTTTCCCGCAGCCCACGACCACCAATGTGGGAAGAAATCAAGGCGGCCTACGAGGCAGGCGGCCTACAGGCATTGCAGAACATCCGGGATCGGCAACCACCAAAGGAGGGCAAGCAGAGCAAGGATGCCAAGGGCAGCAAGGGCAGCAAGGCCAGCAAGGCTGACAAGGCTGGCGCCGAAAAGAAGCCGGGCAACACGGCCAAATCAAAAGAGTCCAAGAAGGTGGAGGTGGAGTCTGACAGCGACGATGGAGGGTTCTTTGAGGAGGATTAAAGGAGAGGCGAGTGTGTCGCTGTCGTCTTTTCGTTTGATGTCTTTTTTACTGGGTTTACATTATTCATCATAGAGCATGGCAAAGGCACGGACATCGACGGGGTGTACATTTAACATTGAATTCATAGCTTTGATTATCATGATTGAATTGAAGGAAGCCGCTGCATGTTGAGAAGGGCACTGGCCGAGCATTAGGTCTCTCGTCGGAACCTGCCCATTCAACTTTCCCGCCCACGGCACCTAAGCGCATAACATACATAATGGGTAGACCGGTTCTGCGAAGAAACAAAGGAGGAACACAAGGTGACGTCCGAGAAATGGTCGCTCAAGGCGCGGTCAAGACCAGATGGATGGTGGAAGAAAAAGTAGAAATAGAAAAGGAAACGTCCAAAGGTATAAGAGAGAGCAGACCAAACAGTATACACAGAACAACAAAAAAGGGCACCACAACGAGCAGCCGTACCAGAAAAACGAGAATAGAAACGTAAAAACGGCAATGAAACAAAAGCACAAGAGCCCAACAATCCAAGCGCCTCAAACAAAACACACATGCACACACACAAATCTCATCGTCCTCACCAAACCATCCCCCTCTTCCCCTTCTTGCCTTCTGTCCTTCTCCGCTTCTCATCTACGCCGAGCGGAGGACCGTACGCCTTTCCGCTGTGGCGTCATCGCACCGGCTGCACCCCGCCGCTTCGGCGTCGTCACCGTCAGGTTCTGGCTCTGGCTCTGGCTCTGGTGCTGCGACCGGGTCGACGGCGCTGACGGCGGCGGTGCGGCGACAGCCTTGGCCTCTTCCGCGGCGGCCGTGATGGTGCTGTCCTCGACGTCAAAGCCGAGGCCGTTGAGCTCTTCGTCGTCCATGTCGGTCAGGTCCTCGCTCAGCAGGCGCACGGCGTCACGGCCCGACGACCACTGCTCCTCGACCACGGTCGTGCCCTCGAGGCCGAAAGTGCCCAGGTACCAGAGAACGCCGCCGTCGTGCAGGGTGTCGACCGACGCCGGGGGCCGCTGGTTGTCTTTGTCTTGGCTGATGATGGCGACAGGGGCGGCGGCCACATTGCCCGGCAGGCTGCCGGTATGCGACTGCGGGGGTGTCAGGGGCCCGTTGGCTGTTGACAAGCCACTGCCAGAGAGCGGTGCACACACACCATCGGTCTCCTTGCCCTCCTTGTCCTCCTTGTCCTCCTTGTCCTCCTTGTCCTCCTTTTTCTTGCCGTTGCCAATGCATTCGTCCTCGGCCTCGGCCTCGGCGTCAGCGTCAGCGTCCGCGTTCGCATCGACCCCAGCCACGCTGGCTTTCTGCAGGCTGCCGAGCGTAGCAGCCCCGCTGGCCAGCAGGTTGGACGAGCGCGGCGTCGTAATCTCGATGCTGATCGTCTTGTTCCGCGTCGACGTCCTGGGTGTAGCGACCGGGTTGACCGGGTTGACCGGGTCGAGGTCCATTTTCTCGTCTCTTTCGTCGTCTGTGGAGCCACCACGCGTTTGCGTCGGAGCTGCAGACGATGACGATGCGACCACAATCTGGCCGCCGGCCGCACGGAGACCGCCAGCCTCGTCGTCGCCCTCGCCCTCGGCGTCGTCGGGGCGGTCCATCATGATGGTGTCGTCCGCCAGCGCGGCGCTCGCAGACGACCGCGCCAGGGCAGCCGCGGATGCTGACTGTATCACAACGCTCGCCTCGAGCAGCTGCTCGAGCTCCTTCTGCAGCGGCTCCGAGGGGACGCGCGTAATGTCGGCCTCGGCGCGGATGGCGGCTTCGAGCAAGGGCTGGATCGCTTTCAGGATGCGCTTAGCAAGCCGCTTGCGATCGCGGGCCTCGGCGAGCGCGGCAGCCGCCGTCAGCTTGGAAACAGCCGGTGTCGCGGCAGAGGCGGCAGAGGCAGCAGTCAGGTTCAGGCCGCCCGCCGGGGTCGCGCCATTGGCCAGCAGCTCCGTAGAGGCGTCCGCTTCGGCGGGCGGCGTGGTCTTGCCGCCGTCGTCCTGCAGGACCGCGTTGATCGTGCTGCGCACGACAGTGGACAAGTCCTGCACAAAGGCGAGCGTGTTGGTGTAAAAGCGCTTCTTGAGCTTGGCTTGCAGAGCAGCAAAGCCGGCGCGGAACACGTCCTTGTCCTTGTCGTAAAAGCTGGCCTTGTCGATGACGGGCGCCAGCAGCTGGTGGATCGGGAAGTAGCACGTATTGACAAAGTCTTGTTCGAGGGTGGCCAGCTCGAGCTTGTGGCGCTCGCGCTCGACGAGGTCGCCGGTGATGCCACGCAACCGGTCAATGTCCGCAAGCAGCGATTCGGCAAACTCGATGCGGCGCTCGAGACGGGCCTGGCCCGAGGCGCCCATGGTGGCAAAGTTGCGGCGGGTCAGCTCCATGGACGTAAAGGTCTCCATCTGCAGCTGCAGGCGCTTGAGAAGGGCGGCGCCTCTACGCGCTTCGCGTTTGAGCGTCCAGTAGCGGCAGGCCTCGGCGACAAACTCGCGGCGGCGGCGGAGCATGAAGCGCTGCAGGGCGGTCTCGACAATGTCAAAGACGGCCTGGGGGATGACGGGCGCGCCCGACGGCAGACGCCACATGGGCTTGGCGGCGGCTGCAGCTGCTCCCTTCTTCTTGTCACCACCGGCGTTGGACGTTGCGTCGGCCATGGCGGTGTCGTCGCCAAGCGTAGGGTGGGCGGCCGCGGCGGCCGCGGCGCCCAGGGCCGCCGTGATGCGTGCGCCCGTCATTTGCGACTCGTCGACCGGGTGCTCGACCAGGGCGTGGGTGGTGGCGGCCATCTGCAGGGCCGAGGCACGGCTGTCGGCCCAGATGCGGCCGCGCATGGTGCGCTTGTAGTGGCGCTTGGCCTCCCGCGTGGCCTGGTGCACGTTGTTTTCCTTGGCGTAGTCGGGCGGGCAGTGGCGGTCGCAAAAGGCCTTGAGGATCATGCTGTTATCAAGAATGGCAAGGTTGCCCTGGCTGTTTTTCATCTTAAGGTACAGCCGGGCGCGGCGCGCGCAGGTGACGTGGAAGGCCTGGTAGCATGCCTTGTTGCCGCACTGGATGCAGGCGCCCATCTTTTGGCGGCAGATGTAGCAGGTCAGGCGCCAGCGGGTCTTGGGCACCTTCTCGACGTCCATGACGGGCTCCATGAAGGTGGTGTTGCCGAGCGAGGTCTCGGGAATCCACATGGCACACAGCATATGGGCCCATTTGGACGAGTTGGTCTGCTTGAAGGCGCCGTCGGTGTTGGGGCAGAAGATGCAGGTGGGCACGCCGCGGCCAATCAGCTGGCACTTGCGGCACATCCACTGGCCCTCGGGGATGAAGGGCACGCCGTAGCAGTCTTGGTGGACGGCGAGGTCGCAGCCGTCGCAAAAGACAATGGCGTTGGTGTTCTCGCAGTCGCCGTCGTCGCAGATGGCGCACTTGCTGTCCTGCTCCTCGCCGCCTTGGGTCTCGCCATTAACGGCCGCGGCGGACGAGGAGCGCGGACGGTGCGTCTGCGGGGGTTTCGGGTTGGGCTTGGGGATGCGCTTCTCGAGCGCGTGCCACTCCTTCTCGATCTTGGTGATGGTGATCTCAAAGATCTCGCGCGTGATCGGCTCGACATTGGCGGCTTTGCGCTGGACGTTGAGCTTGACCAGCCACATGTCGTCCTGCTCGTCCATGTCGTACTCGACACGCCCCACGCCGCCGTTGCTGCCAGCGCCGCCGCCCGCAAGGACAAGGCTCACGCTGCTGCCTGGGACGCCGTATGCGGTTGGCAGAGACGACGAGGCGCCCCCTGCTTCCGTGGCGGCCGACCCAGCACCGCCGCCGCCAGCACTGGCGCTCTTCTCCGCGGCGGCATGGTGGTGGTACGCGTCAATCTCCTCTTCCGCGTTGGCGTCACTCGCCTTGATCAGGTAGGGATCCGGCCGCACGTAGACGTCGCTCTCCTGATAGCCCACATTCATCATGGACTTGTCGACGTAGCGGCCGGCGGTCTTGCCCTCAAACAACAGGATGCGGTCGGTCTTCCGATACGACGGCAGCTTCAGGTCCAGTTTCTCTTTGGGTGTCTGGTTGTGGATCGGCAGCACCTTGGGCGTCTTGGGCGTCGTCGACAGCCCGTACGTGATAAGCCCCAGTCCCAGCCCGTCGCGTGGCGGCCGGCCGATTCTGCGGCGCAGAGGTGTTTCCGGCAGGCCAGACGTGGCCGAGGGCGACCCGCTCGCCGCAGTCAGGTCGTGTTGTGATGCGTCTGTTGAGAAGGATGTGGCAGCTAGTGTGTTGTTGGTGTCGCCGTTGGGCAGCCCGCCGTTTGTGTCTGTCGTGCCACCAAGCGTCGGCGTTGCTATTGCACCGACATTGTGGCTGGTCGCGGACGTGCTCCCGCCATTCGCAAAGGAGGATGCTCCGCTGAACGAGAGGCCTGCAGTCGGCGTGGCCGTGGCCGACGGGCGCGGCGCTGTGCCGTCCACCTCCTCTGAGGGGAAGACCATGAACGTGGTCTCAATGTCCAGATTCGGGTGGAACTCCTCCCACCCGCGTTCCTCGCGGGGCTTGTATCCTTCGCTCTGTACGACGGCGGCCGCAACCGCCGCCGCCGAGCTGAACTGCTCCTCGTCGTCCGGTTCGTATCTGCTCACGGCGATTCGTGTCCGCGTGCTTCGCTCGCGTCGGGGTAGTATTGGTGATGATGCGGGGGGTTTGGGTGCGCGTACGGCCGGTGCCCGGCGAGGCGCGGTGGCGGAGCGGCTGCCTCCGCCACCGCCGGCGCCTCCGGGGGATGCTCGTGGGGCGCCGCGGACCACATAGGTGACGTTGCCGTCCTCGTCAACAAAACGACCGCCTCCGCCGGGGCCTCCAGGGATGTACTTGCGCCTCTTAGGCGGTGGTTCGGAGGATGCGACCGCCATTCGAGCTGCTCGTGATGCGTTTGTAGAGCCGGGTGGGCGACCACGGCGGCGGCCAGTCGACGTCCGTCGAGGCGTGGATGGCGCGGCCGCCATATAGGGGGGTGGGAGACTCGCTAGGGAAGGGCGAGCGAGGGCGGCTCCCGAGTGAGCGCTCGCGTATTCTCGTGTTGGGTACAGCTATTCGTGATAACGAGCGGTTTTGATGATGGAAGAGATGGTCCTGGGCTTGCGGGTGAGGCGTTGCGGGAACCGCGTCTCAGGATACCGAGAGGGGGAAGTCGACGCGCATCTGAGTCGCACGGCGTGGCGAGGGCGTAAAACGAGTAAAGATTGATGAGAAAACAACGGCCTGAATTAGAGACGCGCAGGGCTGACAGGATGCTATGCGTTGCTCCTCAAATGCGGCGTTGCACGTTGGTGATACGGGGTGTTTTGGTGGTTGTCGTCGAGGGGGGTGGAGGCAAAATGGCCACTCAACCACACAGAAGACCCCGTCGGCGGTTCACGTCGCGATGGACGGCAAACCGAGCCATTCCATATTGGGACTAGCGTTGTATGTTTGGGTCCACTTTTGTCAGCCGCCAAACAAGGGGCGCGGGTGTCACAGAATAAAAGGAAAATCCACGCCATTATGGCGTTCGATGTACTCTTAAATCTGCAGGCTGGGCATCCTACGAGTGCGCCATTGTTTGGCTTTGACGCGATATGGGGTATTTCAGTGTTTGAGCAAAAGCTCGACGTAACAGGGGAATTGATTTCGAGAGACCCAGCGCGATGCAATTGTCTACTTGGAGACGAACTGCAGTTCTCGAAGAACGTCCAACATGTCATATGCCCGTTCACTGCTTTGTTTTCTCGTATCCGGTGGTTGTGACATCGACATCTCCGCCGAGCGGAGCATTCGGTCTTTGGAAATCTAGAACAGCCCTGGGCAAGGCGACCCAAATGATGTCGTCCCGTTGGCTTGTCCCCTTTCTTGGCGCCACATCACTGACCGTCGTTATGACCGCCAATTCATGCACAGGTTGCTGACAACGACAACATACAATTGCAAGTCACCTCTAGAGGCAGCCGCCGGTTTTAACTATTGCAGTTGTTCTCAAAAGACGCTTCACGGGATGTCATTGTCTCGACCATTCAAAGACATTGACGAACCTTCTCTTCTCGTCGTCCGCAAACCAATGACTCAAGATAATAATAATATGCTTTATCAACTCGTTACCGACGCATCAAGGGTTTGAAGCTTCTTATGATGTCTTCTACTTCGTGTATGAGAAGAGGCCGACTGGTTACACGTGCAACCGTATCCAAGAAACTCGAGATCTGCTGGAGGCTCAAGGCCCGTTTTATCTCGCGTCGATCAACTGCTCGGGCCAAATTTCATTCTTGCGAATTCTATTGATGATGGTTCTTGCAAGGAGCATCGGCACTTCGCCGTTATGCTCTCCAAGTCCAGAAAGTACGCCTTCGAAATAACTCACGGATAGGATGTAAACATTCGCCGTACTATGTCTCAGTCGAGTATTGCCAAATGTCATCAAAGAGATGAAAGGTAGCGCACCCTCGTGGTGTGGCAAAAGGGGCAGAGACACGGGGACCAGCGAACGCCGCGATCCGCTTTGTTTGATGGAACCTGGTGATGGACCGTGGGGGAAAAAAGGTCAACGGCCATTGTCAAGAGAAGCTACGGTGGAAGCTAGACCACAGTGTCGTTCCTTTTGAGCATGGCAAATGCTGTAATGGCTTTCGTCATCATCTGTCTGGGACTGGTGACGCCTGCCACAGCTCAGCAGATTGCCTGGCGATACACAGCTTGATCCATTTATATAGGCCATTTGCACCGTCGAATTGCGAGACGCCAAAGGCTCTTTTAATGAAACTTTCACAATTGTCCAGACTACAGACACCTCCTCAAAACAATCAGATTTCGTAGCCACGCAGCAGAGTTCGAGGTTTTATAGCTCCCAAAACCCATTCACGCCGCAGCATCATTTTCAATCAAGACATGTGCCTACAGTAAAGTCACCAAGCATCCACGAGTTCAATTAGTAAAGAAATGGTTTGTGTTCAGATTCCAGAAAATAGTCCAATATAACGCCAATATGTCGAAAAATATCAAAAAGTCGCGCCCTATTATAAGAAATATAAAACCGTCTTTGCCTGCAAAGGGCAGATAGATGCAAAATGAAAAACTCCCCACAAGGCCAAAAGCACAAAACAAGGTATCAATAGAAAGTAATAAAAAGAAGCCAAACAAGAAACTTGACGTGCGATGCAAAAGATGCAAGACATTCACCAGAACTTGCAACAGATAAAAGCACAAACATCAGAACATCAAGGGGCAAAAATCGCCCACCAGAGTCAGCAGATATGCTGTTGCCAACGGGTCACGACACAGTGGTCGACCAAAAAGTTAACGGACGCCCTCCAATTCTAGATTTGGAGGACGAGGGTATCAAAAAGGGAGAAGGGGTAAGATGGGAAAGGTACGGTATGCGGCAGACGTGGACAAAGAAGCTTGAGCATCGGGGTGCATCCCGCGAGGACAATATAACAGACAAGGCAGCGAAGCCTTCCGTTGTCTTGTTTAGCCCAGCGTGCGGCCGGAGTGAATGGCCTGCACACTCGTCGACCGCGGCACGACAGGACTAGGATGCAGCGGCGACGTGGTGGCGCTGCTAAAGGGGTTGTCGTGATATTGAGGCGGATGGCGCACGGGATCCCAGGTCTCTTCGCTCAGGACGCTGAGGTAGCCCTCGCCAACCTGGTCCCGCAGTGCTTCGATCTTGCGCCGGTACAGCTCACCACCGACGTCCCAGTCCTGCGGCTCACTCCATGGTTCAGCCGGCGCAGGTGAAGGCGTGCTGGTCGCCTTGGTCGGAGTCCGCGTCGGCGTCGTAGGTGTTGCTGGAGCCTGTGGCACCGGCGCCTGCACTGTAAGCGGCGACTGCGGTGGCAATGGTGGCAGAGCTTGTGCAAGTCTGGTGGATGAAGGTGCGCCTGTACTGGTGCCGTTCGCCAATATTGGCATATCGGCCACCTCGGCTACCGCTCTAAACGTCGAGCCGGTGTCGACCGGGTGCGGTGTGATCATGGCTTGGGGCTTGGCTGGCTTCGCTTCGAGTAGCACCGGCACAGCCGCAGCAGACGAAACGAGGCGATCATCCTGAGCCGGAAAAGTGGGAGCGGTAGAAACAGTTGGCATAGTTGAAACCGTGGGCAGCACTGGTAGAGGGCGTACGTTGGGTGTATCCTCGGGCGACCGGGATATGATATAGTTGTCTTCAGTTGTTGTCAAGTACGACGTCTCGGGTACAACAGGTAACGGCGGTAGTACAGCCGAGGTTGCACGGTCGAACGAGGTTTCCAAAGGTGATGGGGCAGAGGGCGGGGGTAAAACAGGTGCTGTCGTTGCCGATGTGGACAGCACGTGCGTAGTGGTGACGTTGTTGGTGGCCAAATCAACAATCCGTCGCTTCGGGGCACGCTTGCGACGGGTGGCATTGCCGTTGCTCTCGCCAGAGGTGGTGCGCACCACGGGCCGCTCTTTCCGCAGAACAGCAGGCTCCCGTAGCTCACGGATATCGCGAGTGTCGCGCGGTGTATCGTAGACAATAGCAGGCTTGCTCACATCGACAGGAGCGATCGTGGGAACAGGTTGCGGCTTGATCACGGGCACCATAGGTGGCAGTGGAGCACGCTCCACGAGGTACTTGCGCTCCGAGTAGCTGGGCCCGCAGGCATCGATGATGATGTCTTCGGTGAAGCCCGGCGTCTTGCGGAACAGGTTGAAGATGGTGATGCGGTAGTCCTTGTGGGTCCGCGTGAAAGGATTGCCGCCCACCCACACTTCGCGAATTTCGGGAATACCAGTCAGACGTGCCAGCTCCGTCGGGTCAGTGAGGCTGTTATCACGGAGATCGAGGCGCTCCAGCGGGTACAACTTCTCAATGCCGGCTATGGACTGTAGCCGGTTGGCCCGCAAGTTCAGCGCAGTGATGGCAGGCAGCGGGAAGTGCGCAAGCGAGTGCAGAGAGTCGATCATGCACTGCGACAGGTTCAATGCACGGAGCGCAGTCAGGGTCGCCAGGCTGTCCGGAATCTGCGTGAAGAGGTTGCTCGACAAGTCGAGCGAATGCAGAGTGTTGGACAGTGGGGACAGACTGAAGGCAGGGATCGAAGTAAGTGAGTTATCCGCTAGGCTGAGGTGCTTCAGGAAGCGCCATTTGGTCGCCGGGAGGACGCCGACGGTGAGCAGGTTGGACGTGCTGCCGCGGCGGTTGTGCCATGGGTCGGAAAGGCTTGACTGCGAACTGCCAGACCCGGATCGGTGCACCTTGTGCGAGCTACGGACGTATGCGGTGCCGTTGCGCGAGCTTGAGGGCCGACGCGGCGAGTGGCTGCGAGGGCGCGACGACTTGGAGGGCGAGTGCGGCGAGGCCTCATCGCTATTGGACCGGGCGAGCGAGGGCCGGAAATCAGTACCATTGTGCTCGGGCTGCTCGTCTGCGGATGGTTCGCTGATAACCGACCCAATCCGCATGTCGAGCACCGAGGTACGCGGGTCTGGCGAGCCCGGCATTGACATGCTCTTGTGCAGCTCGGCATGTGGGATCGACGGGCTGCTACGGCGCGGGCTCATCATACCCATGCTACCACCGACGGAGCCGCTGCTGAAAGGACCAATGGTCGGGGATGACTGTGTCTTGGATGTCCGCCGCCGGCGTTTCTCCATGTCGTCGAGGACAATGTCGACCAGAATCTCGATAGGATCTTCGATGGAGGCACGCTTCAGCGTCAGAGACCGCAGTTGGTCGGCAAGGCGATCCCAGCCAAAGAATTGCCGAAAGTCCATGTCGCATACTTCGAGGGCCTGCACGTTTTTGAAGACATAGAGTGGGACGGCCGAGTCGAAGGGGAACTCTTCGTAGCCCCGGATGAGGCGGGCGCGCCAGTCGGGGGCGAGACGCAGACACGGTATCTTGGTGAAGGCCGAGTACAGGTATTTGAGGTCAGCCTGCAGGGCGGCCTTTTGCCGCTCGCACCGAGCGGCCGAGATGCTCGAACCAAGACTGAAGTTGGCCCAGAGGGCAGACATGCCGGACATGACGCTGCGGATGCTGGATACGGAGCGGATGGAGCCGACGTCAGAACCGTGAGTCTTGGAGCGTTGAGACTGGCTCAAGAACGAGACGTAGTTTGTGGACGCGGCAGCATCGTGGAGGTTTTCGATGCGGATGCCCATGGGACCAACGGGGATGCCGAGCTCCTCAAAGCGGGACAGCAAGTAGAAGAGGTGATGCGAGGTAAGTGCGAGCTTGGCTGACTTTACGCTGTGGGAGGTGAAGTTGAGGGACCCGAGAGACAAGGCAGCCGCGAGGGAGCTCGACGTCGAGGACGAGGTCGAAGGGCGTTCGGGAAGGGTGTTCGTCGAGGAGCTCGTCGGGAGCGACGAGACGCTCTGGGAGGGGCCATGTCGCGGGCCCGGCTGTCGCCGAAACTGCAAAGCATTCGCAAGTGCCTTTTCGTGCGTGCGCACAAACGTGGCCAGTTGCTGGGCGGGAGTTAGTATAACGAAATGGTGTATGCTATCGTGGCCCATTTTATTTCTTCAAACTCGTCCTAGCTGCGCGTACCTTGATGAACAACTCTCCGTCTTCCGAATCCATGGCGGCGGCGGTTTCGTTTAAGGATGCATTGGGGACAAGTGCTATGTAGTAAAGGTCGGCTGTAGGAGGTCGAAGGGGATGCTGAAGCTGTTCGCTGGCGAGTCTTTATAGATGTATGTGTTCGCTTCACTTTCGGCGGGTACGGTGTGGTACGCGACGGAATTACCGCTGTCTCGAGAAGGTCGCTCAAGGGACAATAGAGAATCAAAGAGAACTGAACAACGAAAAAATCCCGAGGGCTGTTGCACAGAAAAGAGAGTCAGTCAAACATCCGATTTTGTGTTCCTTGCACGTCTTGCGTGGGGGCAAGGAGGGCGAGCGAGGCAAAGAACGCGTCAGAAGAGGGGCACTGCAGAAAAGAAAAGGAAAAGAAAAGGAAAAGAAAAAGGAAATATAAAATAAGAAAACAGTTTCCCAAAAGATCAGCAACAGAGAGTCGGTGAAGTAACAGTCCCAAATGTGCCACGCAGGACAAGGTGCACTCCGTACCGTCCCAAGAAGGAGTTTATGGATCCATGTGTCCAAGAGCCTTTTGGAAATCCAGTCCGTAGGAACAAGACCAGAGGAGGGGTGTGTGGGTATTGTTTTGTCTGTTTGTGTCTAAAAGGAACCAGGTAGGAGCCGGCAAGGAAGAGGAGAAAGAGGGAGTGAAACAAGGCAAAGTTGTGATCAGGGAAGAAATCAGAGCAAGTCGGCCGATCCAGGCAAACAATAAGTGAATGCGAGGATGACAAAAGGATGTGCACAGGGGACTGCGTTTGGCAGGCTTGCCACAGCGCCTAGGCTGAGACTGCGGAGGCTGCGGAGGTTTTGCTGTCGATTTGTTGCCGTTTGCTCTAACTTTTCGAAAAGTTCAGGGCCGCGGCAGGCGGCAGACTCGCAGGGCAACCGCCCGCGCAAAACCAAACTGCATGTACTATAAAAAGGACCAAAACAAGAAAACAAGTGCTACAGGCTGACACGAGGCTAGGAGTGTGGAAGGACGGAGGGTGTGAGGGAAGGTGTGGGTGGGCGTCAAGGCGTGTTCCTGAAGCTGAGTCAACTGGGGGAAAAAACAGTGTGTTCATTCCTGATGCATCCCAGTAGCGCTTGTGTGCATGTTTGTGTATGTGTCAGTGTCTGTGTGTCAGGTGGCGCATGTGAGTTGTGTATGCGTGCGCTGGTATGGGTTTTGGGTGCGTTGTACTTTGTCGTTCGTTTTTTTCTAGTGGTTCTTGTGCTTCGTGCTTCAACGCTTCATGCTTCGGCTTCGTGCTTGGTACTTTCGTACGTCGTGTCGTTTGCCGCCGTCCGTCGGCCTCTTTCACGAGTCCGACAACTAGCGGTCCTTGGTTATGCATTTCATGTTGTCTCCTGGGCCATGTGACCCGGTGCGGCGGAGTGCCTGTTTTGCTGCCTGTTTGCGGAACCAGGACGGCGACTGGGCAGTGGACGACAGAGACGACTCAGCCGACAAGACATACGGCACAGACAGCCTGCAGAGACACAAAAGACAAGCAGACACCAGAACGACGAAACGGTGGGAATAAACAAGACACAAAAAGGCATAACAAACGGGGACAACAATAATCGAGATACGGAAAAAGTAGAAAGCAAAAAAAAAAAAAAACACATCAATACACCAAAAAAGAAACCCTCCTTGAGGTCAACAAGGGGGGGAGATCACACCAGTGCGCGCGAGGCTTGTCGATATTGCATACCAGAGGAAGAACGTATGACGAGACGAGTTGCGGAAACAAGACGAGAAATCGGACGGCGCAGGAGCTGGAATGCGCCCGCGGGGTAAGCGATATGAAACAAAAGAACGGCGGCGACGACGACGCCGACGTCGACGCCGACGACAGAAAAGGTGACAAGAGGACAATATAAAAGGAGTGGACGTGCAACGGGGATAGAAGGGTGGCGCAGGCGGCTCTTTGGTTTCGTTTCGTGGGAGGTTGTTCTTGTTGTGTTTCTAGGACGGGATTTCGAGGACGTTGAAATGTTGCCGGGTTGTTTTGGAAGGAAGAAAAACAAAGCAACAGAAGGAGCATAGGAGCATGGGACGATTGGAGCAACACGAAATGGGCGTAGTCAAGGGCCGCACGGCACTAAAAATGGGTGGAGGAAGGGAACAGGAGGGGAGCCAGGATAGATACGGCAAGAGCGACCAGCGCTAGCGGGAAACGTAGCAAGAGAAAGCAAACCGCGCGATGGCCCCCAAACAAACAGTGGGAAACGAGGCAGGCGCTACCGGTGCCAATCGTGTTGTCGACGAGAGAAAGTGCACAACAAGAGAACGAAAAACGACAGACAGACGCGAATGCAAACGTGACTGCAAAATAAATGCAGAGCGGCCACTTACCCAAAATGTTCTTCTGCCACGCCACAACGTTTGTAGTTTTTGTATATTTTTATCGGAGATATACGTGGCACTTCGCAGCGTTTCGTGCTTCGTCGAGCTCGGCAACACAGGAGACGCGGTGTGTTGCTTTCGAAGGAAGGTGCGATCGAAGGTGTCCGGGCTCGAGTCGTTCGATTTTGTCGAGCAGGGAAGGAGGCCACAAAAAAGGACGGCACAGGTGTATAAAGGAAGGAGAAAAGGGGGGGTGAAGAAGAAGGAGGAAGAAAAGAAAAGAAATAAAAAAATAGAAGAGAAGAAGGGGATATCTCAAACGTTCCCACGCTCAGCAGACGACGCAAAATAGGCGATAACAAAACAGCACCAAAACACCGTAGTCCTCTGTTTTCCTCGCCCGTATTCTCTTCCTGATGATTCCCTCGGACGTTTCTCGTCTCGTCCTCTCTTCTGCGTCTTCTCTCTCTTCTGTTTCGTACGGGTGCTCTGTCGAGAAAGCAACCACCTCTACGGACCAAACAGAAGAGAAGAGGAGAGAAGAAGGAAAGGGAAGCAGAGGAGGGAAGACGGGAAATTGGAGACGGGGGTGAGAACGGGGGTCTGGTTTGGCTTTAATACCAGCAGCCGTGTGGCCGCTCACTTTCTTCTACAGTTATTTCAGTTTTCAGTTATTTCAGCACTGCGCGCAGGAGCCTTGCCAGTCGCAGACACGACGGCCAATAACCCCATTCGCAAGGGGCCGCGAAGCAGGAGGGAGGGAGGGGTACGGCGGCTGTGGAGGACGAGACGACACACAAAGATGTGCGAGAGAGGCTTTGAGAAGAGTGACTGAAAATGGTATCATATGCGGGCCATCATGGTGGGGACCAGGCCGAGAATACCTGTGCATTCAGGGTCCTCGCAGTCTTTTTTCAATCCTCTTTTTCTTCGCCCGGGATGCTAGCTGCCCACCACCTGCGTACTCGGGGTACTGCTAGGATGTTGGTGCAGGTGGTATTGGTGGGCCAGTGGACGTGCGCCGAGATGAAAGAGAGGGGGGCATGTCGTACATCGCAGTGAAAGTCCACCAAGAAGCCTCGAAGCCTTCAAGGATGCGGCGCCAGGACCACTCTAGCGCGTTTTGTGCGGGACATCACAGCAGGTTGAAATTGCAGACAACAAGGGGGTGGGAGGCCAGGACAGAAAATACGGAGCAAGTCTCCCCCACCATAAACACATTCACCCCGACTACAGCGTCCAAAAGATTGGAGAGATCAGACCGCTAGACAGGGGACACAGCCAGATGCTGTCGAAAGCCGGTCGTCAGTCTCCTCCGCAGCCAGGGCCCTCCTGGTAAATTGATACCGCCGTCGTTTATAATTATGTCTGTCTATAATTACTCCGTACGCCACAAGACAGTAGTGTCAGCACCAGAAGTGTTGTTTTTGTTTTTGTTGACCATTTTCGTGTTCATTGGAGGACATAAGATGGCGGTGTCGGAGCAATTTCACAACTTCATGCTCTCGCATATGTCTTTTCTGACTTCTGACGGCATCGTGCCAATGGTGAGAAATAAAGGATCGGAGGCGAGTCACTGCAAGAAAGGAGAAAAAGACCTGTCTCATATGCACCGAGTCGGCGGAGAGGGCGCCCGTGCCCTGCCTATTTTTGCGTCCTCTTACCCTTTTTCTTTTTAATTGAATTGAATTGAACAGTACGACATAAAGAATGGCCTTGCCGCTCGCTGCCAGGAAGGGCAACGAGCCGGTGGTGGGCAGCCAATAATGGCAGCGAACACGGCTTTTGTCCTGGTATTGGCCTGGGGCAATGCATTGAGCTGTCCATCAACAGTCACTGGTCAATGGCCTCTTTTTGAGTCAAAATCGACCCTTCTTTTTGTTCCTGGCCTCCCTGGGTGGCCTAAGGGGGCCGGGGGGGTTATCCAAATAGACGCCCTTGACAGACGGCGTGCCCCCGTTTACGTGCAGGAAAGGGGGGGCTTGCATCTGCATCTCGTCTGCATCGGGTCTACATCTACGTCTGCGTTTTGCGTCGTTTCTTTCCCCTCCTGCAGCTGCTGCAACTGTAAGAGGATGCAGAGAGGGACAAGGGAGAGACCGGGCAGGCGCATGCGGAGAGCAACGCAATGACACGGCGTGCGTCTCCAAACACAACAGTTGCAGTGAGATGGAAAAGGAGACAAGGAAAAAGGAAAGAAAGGCGAGAAAGGAAAAAGGAAGAGATGAAAGTCCGCCGCTACCGTATGCAGGCTGTGAGCACAGCTTTCTGCATAATAGGCAGGGGGTTGCGTCCTAGCCTGTATGACCGAGTAAAACGGCAAAACGTAAGAAGAGAATCATGTCTGTGGACTTGCTGGAAAGAAGCAACTCGACGCGGTGAATCGGAATGTGGACGACGGCGTCGAACGCAAGGGCCGCTGCATGTTTCGCTTCGTCCTACACAGAGGACACACAGAACACATAGAACACAAAAATCGAAGCGGACTCTGAAGAGAGCAAAGATCATCACATCCAGCTTGGAGTGTGCTTCAGCCTCGGCTTCAGCTGTCGTTGTGCCGGCCATCTTCAAGAGGATTGCCGAAACGGACGAAACGAATCGGAAATCAATGTCGTTCACCGCCAGTGCGGCGAAGACGACAAAATAACGAATGAACGACAAAAAG